ATGTTGTTCCACCAATATCTCAGTCTCTGGAAGATTGATGAAAACATCAAATAGTTCTGTCCGGTTCTCAATCTCCGCCTCCAGAAACCCTGCCACATACCCTGTAAAAACACAATTGTTTTCCACAATTTATCTCGCTACAATATGTATTGTTTATTACGGTTTAAATAATTAAGTATTTAGAAAATATCAACAAATATGCACACCTGGACACATTTTAAGAGCTTGTAGCTCATCTTCCTGCAAGTGAACACATGGGTAGAGAATGGACCAGTCTTGTCTGTGCCAAACCAAAGTTGGCAGTATCCTGAGAAAACAACACAGAATAGGTCATAAGACCTCTTTCTCAGCTTAAATCTTAATGAGGTCAGTGAAGGCCCCCATAAAGTATGGTGTGCCTAAAGGGTATATAACTTTACTTGTTGTTTACAGCACCTGGTAAATTCCTGCAGCACTTGAAGCTGAGGGTGGTAAACAGCCACACGCTTCCGAAGCATCAGTGCGGTGTAGATAATGATTGTTTCCAACCCAAACTGCCGCACCACCTCTAGTGAAACATGAAAGACTTCATTAATGCAGATAAATCATGAAAACTTTTTATAGGACCAGTCCACTCAACATTGGTGAAATAGATATGTATCTGGGGAATTTCGATTTAAAGCTTTCGTGACTGCAGGGATTCATATTCTTGGTTCTTTCGGTTTTATTTTTATTATTTTATTATTTTCCTTCTACGTGACTTTATCGAAAGAGCCAAGAATATCTGCGGAATGCTTTAAGGAGCAAGATTAATTACGCAATGTCACAAACATGAATCACATAAAAAATTTGCTTTATCGGGTACACACATACCCTTAATTGATCCTGCTAAATACGTCTTTTTGGCCTGGTAATCCTGAACCAGGAAAGATCCATTCTCCTCCGTTTGACACAATCCTTTGGTAACCACAGAGAGGTATGCTTCCATCATGCTGGCAGGGCTACCATATTTGCAATATAACCTGAAAAATAAAAGGATATTATTTAAGTGATATATATTTGGACATACACACACGCATACAGCAAAACTTTAGAAATGTGTTGAATTTCAAGGTGGCAAAGTGAATCAGGGTATTAAGCAATGATTGCTGATCCCAGCTGCCACCTGATTAAAATGAGTTCTCAATGGAGCTTGATGGTCTCTGTCCATTAATTCGATAAAATTACAGCTCTTAGAATTAAAAATACAACAAAGATTATGCTGGAGCGGGGCAGGAGGGAAAGTGTTGCCCCCTAGTGTATGTCGATAAGAGGTCACTTGAAGGAACCTCGGGTAGTTTGTAACATTTGGTTGGGTGATCCATTCTCTAAGACGGGAGGGACGAGATTTCATTGCTCTACAAGGAGTTCCAAATAGATGTTTATCTCATGGCATGATGTCAATAGCACAATCATGATGAAGTTTGTGAATAATACAATATAACTTTTAAATAAAATATGACATGTTGCAATAGTACTTGCCTGCTGAGAATACGACTCAGAGCAGCGTACTTTTCTGGGTTAAAGTCTTTGGAGGTGAGCACAAGGCTGTACTGTCGTACCTGTTGAGTGAAAAATAACAGCGTCTTCCAATGAAATGCTTAAACTGCTTTCATTCTAGTGACAGCAGTCTTAAAAAATGCTCTACGAACACATGCCTGCAATGACAACAGTGTGACATGTTTACTGGCCAAGTGATATATAGCAACATTAAACCTTAATGCACTGCAGTGAAAGAAAAGTATTTTTACTGCATTGTCAAAAGAGAAAAACGAGACTAACCAACCAAGAGTAGAGGTAATTTGTTCCACAAAAGTTCCATTTACACATACAAACTTTGGAAACGTGCTCATCTAACAATTTACTGTACATATATCATGGAAAATTGTAATATTCTCCTGGGCAATGATGATAAAATGTTTTTAACCATTTTGTCATCTTGATTATGGCCGTACTTTGTTCATAGTTTGCATAGTACGCATCTTTACGTGTAGTGTTGGTTAAAAAAAAAACAGGGTCCACAGACGTACCTTGGGCAGAACGCCTGGGATTGTGATATCTCCAGAGGTGATGTAGTACCAAACGCGGCGGTGTTGGCCAAAAATAAAAGGGTCGCGTATCTTCCCGTCTGCCGAGAGTGGACATTTCCTAAGAAGCAATGTTCGGAGTTCGCTGCTCACAGACGGGAAACACCACACCCAGAGCACATCTCCACTGCGGTCCTTTTCTGCACGTGACAAAAGAGAATACATACTCTATATGTACTACATTTATTCAGAAAAATGTTACGAAAAGAGAATACATACTCTATATGTACTACATTTATTCAGCAAAATGTTACGATTTCACTCTGCACGAGTTCGGTTCAACGTGTTACATTATTCACTTTTTTTCATATAGAGTTTCAATTACATTCCTGATCTGAAGCAAGATAATCTGCAGTTGAGAACATTCAGCAGACATTGTAGAATTGATTACTATGAGCCAAGAATGTCTGTCTCGCGCCTGACGTCACTCCACGTCAACCAACCCCCCTCATTAATAAGCATGCACAGATGACGTCCTCCACATCGAACAGCCCCCACATTAATACTCATGAAGAGGTGACGTCTTCCAAATGGACCCCCCCCTTTCTTAATAATTAGTGGGTGACGTCACTCCACATGGGGGGGCGAGGCGCCTCCTCCCCCCTCCTCGGCGTCAACTTACAACCCTCACTACAAAGGCAGAACCCTCATCACGTCATCACGTGAGCTCCGTGACGCTGTTGAGACATCGAAGTAAAAAGGACGTCGTGATAAACAAGGGATTATAACCTTTAAATGAAATAAGTCTGTGTCACCGCGGCCTGACAATTTGCACACGAACGGATGCAATGAATATAACACGTCGCGGGGCTGATTTTCACTTGCAAGTTTCAGATTTACTGCAATACACCCGTCCTTGGACGGGCAAAAGGCTAGTGGCATAGGTTTAGAGACTTTTAAGTCTCAGCTTGAGTCCTCCAACATCCATACATTGGCCAGTACTGAATACTATGATTTGTGTAATTATAAATTACGGTACTTCTCTCTTGCCTCTTCAGCAGCAAATTTTTGGCTGTGCTTAAATCCAATTATATTGCACCTTCACGAATTACACTAGTCTATACCCAAAATGCTTCCAAAATAAATGTATGAGAATAGGTGTTCCCCTTTTTTGGCAACATAACAGGTGTTAAGATGTTAAAACACCAAACTGAAACCTCTTGCAAGGAATCACATCTGCATTTACCACATATACTTGTGGTCAAAATGCAAACAAAAACATACTCTGAGAGTATATGCATTCATCTTCTTGGTTCTTTCGGTAAAGTCACGTAGAATGGAAATTTTAAAAAAAAATTCTCACGACGTTTCGGCCACAACACAAGCGGCCTTCTTCAGGTGAAGAAACAGGTCTATCCAGAAGACAGAGCTTGAATGAACGCTGTCAAGCAAGGACCGCGTCTTTTAAAGCTTTAAAGAACCAACAAGATGAATCCCTGCAGTCACGAAATCTTTAAATCGAAAAATATATGCATTGTCTTTGAAACTGATTGGTCTACACCAGAGACAGCTTTCTTTCTTTTAGACTGTCTCAATGGGCAATTTATATAACGTGGTACAATGCAGTTCAATTAAACTTGCCACTGTATTGTATTGGCAGGCTTGATTCTGCTGGCGAAACCCTAAAAAACTAAACCGGTCTATAGTCTGTGCTTGATTAAACCCTTCTGGATAAACATGGGTCCAAGAAGGCATGTAGACCGATAATACTAAAATGCTTTTTTTATATATATTTGTGAAAACACAATCGTCCCTTTGCACCGTTTCAAAGTCAGCGGGCAAAACAGAAGGCCGGACCACTGACACATGAATTGAGGTGAATGAACGCTAAATCAGTGTCAAAATTAAACAACATGCTATGACAAAATCACACGGAATGCGCCCGATCCTTTCCAACATCAGAAGCGTTGCAGACTTGAGCCTGGATCGTGCTTGTTGTATCCGTTACCACCAGAAATTAAACACGTGTAGCAGGCGCAAACTGCAGTAGAGGGCAGTGCAGCAAATCCACGATCGTTCGACACTTATCTAGGCCTCCTCACCAAGCCACACCGACCGGAGAGGCGAAGTATGGTCAAAACAACCCTCATCGCCCGTACGGCCTGGAGAAGCCCTCTTCCAGGAGTGGATGTACAAAGTCAGTGGTTTCACACTCAAACAAGCAGCACGTCCAGAACTTCCTACATACAGCCCGAAGCCTGCAGGAGCTATTCGACATTCCCATGACGGAGGGGATATTTATCATCAAAACTGATAACGATAAAACAACCAATGCCTTTTGCCACAAAATGGTACAAATTTTATCCAACCCGGACAAAGTGCTACATTGAGGGGGGTTCCTGCTGGTTTGCGTGCCCGCATGCTCTCACCACTTGCACCACAGCATATCGGTATGAGCAACAACACTAATTGTAACAACAACAACTATGATAAAGGCAATGACTTGAATTAAATGAATAAACGGCACCGACCAATAAGCCCCACCGACAGCACCAGCTGCACTTCCGACACCGCCATTGCACGTGACTAGCGGGGAGGGGCGGGGCGGGGAGGGGAGGAAGGGGAGGGGATTGCGGAAAGGGGAGGGGCAGGGCGAAAATGGGCGGGGCGGGAAGAGGAGGGGCGGGAAGGGGAGGGGCGGGAAGGGGAGGGGATTGCGGAAAGGGGAGGGGCGGGGTGTGGTAGACCGAGGCGGCTCTCACCCCTCACCACGTGACCCCCATAACCTTTTATCCCCCCCACCCACCCCCAAAATATTTTTTTTGGAAACAATTTTTTTATCCACAAACCAACTTCAGCAAACTACTTCAAAAGCAAAGCGCTTAAAGTAACCGTATTGAATATAAAAAAAAATCGTTATATGGAACCCCCAAGTATCGAGGGCGCGTCACGTGGTGCGAGCGCCGCGCCATCTTGAGACCGCCGCTGTCCTCGCGTCTCGCCGCCGCCGCCTCCTCCGCCGCCTCCTCCTTTCGCGCTCGCCGTGCGCTCGCTCCCGCAATTAAAGCCGCGCACGTCGATGTCTGTTCGCTACCGCACGTGGTGACAAGCCGACATCAGCAAACATGCCGGTGTATTTTCAAAGGCCGGAGAATGCCCTGAAGCGGGCCAACGGTGAGGAGGATGCGGTTGCGGCATCGTGGTCTAGCTTAGGCTGCGGCCTGGCTCCCCCCCCTTGCTCTCCATCTCCCCATTTCTCCTTCGCTCGCTTTCGAGCGCAACGCGATTGCGCAGTTGTAATCAGGACGCGTTTAATTTGCACGCACATACCTTTTAAGTGCAACGTTTAAAAGGGATCGCCAGACTCGGGGAGTCTAAAGGCTCCGGCCTGGGGTTCCCTCCACTCTCCGCCCATCCCCCCCTCGCTCACCTTTCCCTCTGTTTCTCAAAAGATGAACTGCTAATTTACTTTATACGCGCAAAACAAACGTACGTAACAACGTTTAAATGAGCCCCCAGCCTTCGGGTGGTTTGTGCATGCAGCAAGCGGTGTCCGCGTGTTCCATATGGGAGCAGTGAAAGTGTCCCCTTGTTCCCCTTCGCTGGCAGCCACGTTTACTCCGTGGCGTGAAATTAAAACCTTTGCAATGTGAACAGCAGTCAAGAGACGAGACGTGTAGGCGGTGTTGCTTGTGTCATGCCAATCATTCCTAGTAGCATATATACTTGACGTTACCCGTTACTGTGGCCGGGAGCGAGGAAATCCGTCGTGCAATAATTGATTTGCCACACAAATTGGTAATGGTGCAATCCTGAAAAAAATACTAAACAGCGTTAAATGCAACAGCATTTCAAAATGCTGTATAGAAACGGTAATAATGTCTTTGAGGCGTTTTAACATAGGTTGAAAAAGGAAAGTTGAGTAAGGAGTCGGTATCACGGATGACTGAGGGAAGTGAGTTCGAGACATTGGTGATAGCAGATGAAAATTGTCGATCCCGGAATAAAGGGATTCTCTAATTCACGTGATGTAAAATAAGTAGGCGTCGGTAGGATATAACGTGACCAAATAATGTTTTTTTTGGGTGCGTTCATCTAGCGATGCCATGGATTATAAACATTTCACACTGAAAAGTAACATGGCACAAAAGGCAGGATTCGCAAAGCTTGTCGAAATGATGTATTGTACAACTCATTGCCAATCCACTGCTGGATGAAGGCCTAAGTACGCCGTGTCGGTAATGGGTTTGACCATACTTGACGATAATTTGTGCAGGTTGGTGAAGGGAGGAGGTAGCCAAGCCCGTTTATTAAACTGATTATTTGGAATCGAGCAAGAGTTCTTAGTTATCTGCATTATCCGCGATTGCTGCTCCACCCCACGCGCACATGGAACCACATTGAGAGTTATAGAAACACGTGGGTCAGAAGGCATACAACTAGGGGAGTCTTCCGATTAGCACGGTTGGCTACGTACGGTGCGAAAGAAGTTCATCATACAGTGAAAAGTCGGTCTTGTGCTGTACTGTACAGATTGCTAAGGGGGATTATGCACAAACTGGTCATGGAATGGCAGCCAAAGGGAAAAGATAACAAACATTGTGAACATGGCTCATGCAGGAGTTGGATTGTGACATCTCTGGACCATAAGGGATGGTGATAACGTGGGAAGGTTATCCAGCGGTGGATAGATCATGACTGTTCTTGACAGGGTGGAGAGCCCTTAATTCAATAGTGGCTAAACTATGGTTGTTGGTGCTCCCCAACATCTGGGTGTTTGTGTTGCCCATCTTTCCACGGTGTCCAGACTTAACGGTTATAAAAATTGCACAACCAACCATGGCAGTTGATTGTGAATCGAGCGGCATATTCAATGATTGGCATTTTTGGACCATTTTTAATACTTTTGAGCTAAAATTGTTTTACTGTTTGCAAAACCGTTTTCTGCTCACGTTTATGTAACGTTGATTTGTATAGCAATGGTATTGGCGAGTTAAGCCTGCTACATTATTTGGTGGTCATGTACATATTTAAACCTACACTTTAGGTAGGTTTATTGACAACTTTACTCGGTGTTGTATTACTCTGTTGGTACATTCACAATTCATGGTACAAATCAAACATATGTGTGTCATTTTCCTTTTACGGCTGTACAGAGTTTTTGGAGGTGGGAAAGAGACAGCCTGCTTTGGATGTCCTGTATGATGTGATAAAGAGCAAAAAGCATCGAACATGGCAAAAGATCCACGAGCCCATCATGCTGAAGTACCTGGAGTTGTGTGTGGACCTGCGCAAGAGTCACCTGGCCAAAGAGGGGCTCTACCAGTACAAGAACATCTGCCAGCAGGTATTAAAAAACATTCGAATACATATTTTTATCACGCATGTCACAGTGTAGGTTTACCATATATTAAACATATTTCCATATTTTATCGATGTAGGTTAACATCAAGTCTTTGGAGGATGTGGTGAGAGCATATCTAAAGTTGGCAGAAGAGAAGACCGAAGCTGCAAAGGAGGAATCTCAGCAGATGGTGCTGGATATTGAAGATCTTGATCAGATTCAAACCCCCGAAAGGTACCATATTCAATATTCGCATTATAAGACCTGTATCATAATTGTAATGCATTTCCTTGCAGGTGAATAGAAATTTAAAGGAAGAAAGAAATGCATATTTTAGACTATAACCCCTTTAAGGAACTTTTGGTCAAACACTTGAGTAAATGTTGTGCGTGTGGTGCAGCGTTTTGTTGAGTGCTGTTAGTGGTGAAGACACCCAAGATCGAACGGATCGTCTCCTGCTTACGCCATGGGTCAAGTTTCTGTGGGAATCGTACCGCCAGTGCCTGGATCTCTTGCGAAACAACTCGCGTGTGGAACGTCTCTACCAGGACATTGCCCAACAGGGTATTTTTATTAACTTGACTTTTTATGCAAACGGCAAGATACCTGTAAAAATAACTGTTGAAATCACGATTGTAGTACTTGCCAACATAAATTAATGTTGATCTTGTTTCCTTATCTCAGCTTTCAGATTCTGCCTGCAGTACACACGAAAAGCAGAATTCCGTAAGTTATGCGACAACTTGCGCATGCACCTCAGCCAGATTCAGCGCCACCATAACCAGAGCACGGCCATCAATCTGAACAACCCGGAGAGCCAGGCCATGCACCTGGAGACAAGGCTGGTGCAGCTGGATAGTGCCATCAGCATGGAGCTGTGGCAGGTATGCTAATATCTGTATTTTTTTCTGATGCAAGATGAATAGCATTGTGTTTACATTTGTTTTGAAGTACCACATAACATCATTAGACCTCCTTTGCCAGTACCAAAATGTAATAATAGGGTTTTTCCCCTTTTTTCTGGCAACAAAACTGAAGCCTTTTTACGAAGATTCATGTCTGCATTAACCACAATACCACACCAAGGGACGACTTTCTTTTGAGCCACAACCTTGTAAAAAGGTTTCAGTTTTGTTGCCAGAAAAAAGGGGAAAAACCCTATTATTACCACATAACATGTTTGTCAGTATTACAATGTGTATAATTTGATTGTATTGTCTTGATTATGCAGGAAGCATTCAAGGCCGTTGAAGATATCCATGGGCTCTTCTCATTGTCCAAGAAACCCCCGAAGCCCCAGCTAATGGCCAACTATTACCAGAAAGTTTCTATGGTGTTCTGGAAGTCTGGCAATGCTCTCTTTCATGCTTGCACACTCCATCGTCTTTTTCACCTCTCCCGTGAGATGCGAAAGAATCTCACTCAAGACGAAATGCAAAGGTCAGGCATCAAACATATACATATATTTACCAAGCTATTGTCCATGCAGTATATTTTTTTAGTTGATGCCATTAAACCATGTTTGCCATGTTCGTTATTCCCAACAGAATGGCCACCCGTGTGCTGCTAGCCACTCTCTCCATTCCTCTTACTCCCGAGCGCACAGACATTGCTCGCCTGTTAGACATGGATGGGATCATCGTTGAAAAGCAGCGTCGCCTTTCAAGTCTGTTGGGACTTCAGAGTCCTCCCACTCGTCAGTCCCTCATTAATGACATGGTATGCAACATACCACCCACCCATATGACCTACAGTGAGGGAAAAAAGTATTTGATCCCCTACTGATTTTGTACATTTGCCCACTGACAAAGAAATGATCAGTCTATAATTTAATGGTAGGTTTATTTGAACAATGAGACAGAATAACAACAAACAAATCCAGAAAAACGCATGTCGAAAATGTTATAACTTGATTTGTATTTTAATGAGGGAAATAAGTATTTGACCCCTCTGCAAAACATGACTTAGTACTTGGTGGCAAAACCCTTGTTGGCAATCACAGAGGTCAGACGTTTCTTGTAGTTGGCTACCAGGTTTGCACACATCTCAGGAGGGATTTTGTCCCACTCGTCTTGGCAGATCTTCTCCAAGTCATTAAGGTTTCGAGGCTGACGTTTGGCAACTCGAACCTTCAGCTCCCTCCACAGATTTTCTATGGGATTAAGATCTGGAGACTGGCTAGGCCACTCCAGGACCTTAATGTGCTTCTTATTGCGCCACTCCTTTCTTGCCGTCTTTTTTTGGGTCATTGTCATTCTGTAATACCCATCCATGACCCATTTTCAATGCCCTGGCTGAGGGAAGGAGGTTCTCACCCAAGATTTGACGGTACATGGCCCCGTCCATCGTCCCTTTGATGCGGTGAAGTTGTCCTGTCCCCTTAGCAGAAAAACTCCCCCAAAGCATAATGTTTCCACCTCCATGTTTGACTGTGGGGATGGTGTTCTTGGGGTCATAGGCAGCATTCCTCCTCCAAACACGGCGAGTTGAGTTGATGTCAAAGAGCTCCATTTTGGTCTCATCTGACCACAACACTTTCACCCAGTTGTCCTCTGAATCATTCAGATGTTCATTGGCAAACTTCAGACGGGCATGTATATGTGCTTTCTTGAGCAGGGGGACCTTGCGGGCGCTGCAGGATTTCAGTCCTTCACGGCATAGTTTGTTACCAATTGTTTTCTTGGTGACTATGGTCCCAGCTGCCTTGAGATCATTGACAAGATCCTCCCGTGTAGTTCTGGGCTGATTCCTCACCATTCTCATGATCATTGCAACTCCACGAGGTGAGATCTTGCATGGAGCCCCAGGCCGAGGGAGATTGACAGTTCTTTTGTGTTTCTTCCATTTGCGAATAAGCGCACCAACTGTTGTCACCTTCTCACCAAGCTGCTTGGCAATGGTCTTTTAGCCCATTCCAGCCTTGTGTAGGTCTACAATCTTGTCCCTGACATCTTTGGAGAGCTCTTTGATCTTGGCCATGGTGGAGAGTTTGGTATCTGATTGATTGCTTCTGTGGGCAGGTGTCTTTTATACAGGTAACAAGCTGAGATTAGGAGCACTCCCTTTAAGAGTGTGCTCCTAATCTCAGCTCGTTACCTGTATAAAAGACACCTGGGAGCCAGAAATCTTTCTGAATGAAAGGGGGTCAAATACTTATTTCCCTCATTAAAATGCAAATCAATTTATAACATTTTTAACATGCGTTTTTCTGGTATTTTTGTTATTCTGTCTCTCACTGTTCAAATAAACCTACCATTAACATTATAGACTGATCATTTCTTTGTCAGTGGGCAAACGTACAAAATCAGCAGGGGATCAAATACTTTTTTTCCCTCAATGTACGTGCACCCCTTTTGTCAATTACCTGTGAATTTAAGCCCCCCCACACATTTGCTGAGGATCATGAGTGTTATGACTATATCTTAGCACGCTGACCAATGCAGGATTCTGAAGGCAGGGGCGCTTAGAATTATAGTACAATAAAAAAAATTCGGCTGCCTTCCGACCACAATATAGATCTGCAGCCACTTATGACAACCCTGGTTTGTGCATGGTGGTCACCCTTCCAAGCACTATCGAGTTGCAATCAAACCTGCTCAGCTTTCAAAATATGCCGGGTAATTTTGTCATGCGCTGTACATGTGCATTGCATATAAGTTAAGAATGTGATCATATTTATTGTTTTTATATCATGTTGGCATTTACCCTGGCATATGCACATTTTATTCTCATGCTCTTAATACTTTTGGGAGCCATGATATATCTTTTGTGCTAGATCAATAACGTTGGTAAATTAACAGCCTAGCTTTGTTCACTAGCTAGAGCTGTCAGTCACCTTCGGATAATATTGTCATTTTATTGTCATCATGAGAGGACTTTAGCATAGTAAAGAGATGGTGCTTTCAATTCAGATGGAAAGTGGTAAAATTATGCATTTACATAATTATCTTGAAATGTTCTATGTTAATGTTCTTCCGCAGGTCCGATTCAATGTGATTCAGTACGTTGTGCCAGAAGTGAAAGACTTGTACAACTGGTTGGAGGTTGACTTTCACCCGCTGAAACTATCTGGGCGTGTCACAAAGGTTTGACAGCTTGATTTTTTTTACAGTCAAAAACATAGCATAGCATTATATAAACTCTCAAATACGATCAAAAGAGTTACAAGCACGTGTTAATTTAGGTCAATTTTACGTTTCGGTGTTTCCCTTATTTTACAAATTATAAACACCTTACGAAGTATACTCCACACAATTCATTTTGCTTCACAGTAATAGCACATATCATTGTCCTGCTCCCTCAATGTGGAAGTAGCGATATTTCTGATGTGCCAGAGAAAATTTTGTTGGTTAATTAACAGCTTGGTTAATTTTTAATGATCAATGCTGTCAGTCACCTTCATACACTTCCCACATCTACAAGAAAAATATTTTTGAAAACCATGGCAATATATAAAAATGCAATTCAGGGTTTGAGATTTAATTTAGGGATAAATAGTTTTTTCTTGACCATATTTTTTAGAATTTTTATTTTCTTGATGGTTTCCTCATTCCGTTAGTAAAACTCCCTAACAGCATATAATTTGCATAGTTGTAAGTAACAATATTGAACATTTAAATGCACATGTTTTTTCAAAATCCATCTTAATGAGTTGCATGCCTTGTGTTCATACAATTTGTCATGTTTGTATTTAAAGGTGCTAAACTGGATTAAAGATCAGTCGGAGAAAGAACAAGAACTGCAGCATTATGTCAATCTCCTTCAAAACAACACGATCCTCCGCTTACTCCAGCAGGTTGGTTGTCAAAGAACTGCTACATGTTAACTTAGGAACCGTTTATAAAATGTAGTTATTGATACAAGTTATTTTGGTCTTTCGGTTAAGTCACGTAGATAGGTTCAAATTAATAAAACAAAAATAAACACAACTACGACGTTTCGATCACAGCACAAGCAGTCGTCATCAGGAGGCTTTCTTTCTCCTGAGGACGATCGCTTGTGTTTTGATCGAAACGTCGTAGTTTTTTTTTATTACTTTGAACCTATGTGTGCATGACTTTCCCGAAAGACCCAAAGAACATGAATTCCTGCAGTCACGAAAGCTCTAAGTCGAGATTTATTGATGCACGCTTAACGTTTGCTGTGTTCTTGCAGGTGGCCCAAGTGTATCAGGGCATTGAGTTCAGTCGGCTGGCATCTCTTGTGCCCTTCATTGACCCTTTTTCACTTGAGAGAATCATCGTTGATGCTGCCCGCCACTGTGATCTACAGGTAAATATTTTCACTACACGATTGAGCCAATTGCTTGAACAATGTAGATGTGTGGAGAGAGGCTAATGGGTCTAATTCTCGAAATCACTCTCCCTTTAGGAACAGAAGAATGAGGCATTTCATGATTTGAGCTATTTAAGTAGTGTATAATTTTTTTTGTTAAATGTTTCTGAATTTAAACTTGTGCTTAAACTTTTTATTTTACTAAAACTAAACTGTTTTTTTTTTTAATTTAGCAGGTAGGGCCTCTGGCCGCCTCATTCTAGCTCAGGCCTTCTGAAAGGCTGTTATAATTTAGTTGACGGCAAACAAAACGCCGGGCTTTTATAATAGAAGTGATCTGGCCACAAATGATAGCTGAACTAAGTGGCTTATGTGGAAACGCACGTTTCTAAATGTGGAGGGAAAAACGGAGGACTCTGATTAAAATCCACGCAACCACGGGTAGAACATGCAAACTCCAAATACATAGGCATCAGGGTCTGGATCGAACTGACGACTTCCTGTATATACAAGGCGAGGTAGTTAACATTTCTCCACTGTGGCACCCAACCAACAGCAGCCACAGTTATCCCTTCTGGTCTGGCAACATTGTTATTTTTCCTGGTGCTTAAAGTGTGGCATATGGAACTTCCTCTTCATATATATGGTAAGGTTTTATCCAGCAGATTATTTATATTGGCTGTTGATAATGCGTGGTTTGCTACTCTTAGGTGCGCTTGGACCACAGTAAACGAACACTGAGCTTCGGATCGGACCTCAACTACTCTCCAAGAGATGATGCCCCCACAGGCCCATACCTGCAGCCCATGCCATCGGACCAGATTCGAAATCAACTGACTGCAATGTCCTCCTGCTTGACCCGTGCCCTTGACATTATCAAACCTCCTAACATTCTGGTAAGTGTGCCAAAAACCGAGTCGGCATATTATTGTAAATGCATATGGCAATTGAGACACAGAGAATCTTAAACTGGAATGATTTCATCCTGCATGTATGTATACATTAGTGATTTACTTGCAGCTGTCAAGATTGGCGTTTGTTTTCACTCTAGTTTTGTTTGTTCATCAACATTGTCTTACATTAGACCGAGAAAGAAGAGCAGAAGCAGCAGGCTGTGATGGCATATCTCAAGAATTCCAAAAAGGAGCACCTGCGGACCCTAGGGCGGCGACAGACTATCGAAGAGCGCAAGGAACGCCTGGAGAGCTTGAACGTGGCCCGGGAGCGCAAGGAGCAGGAGCAGCGCGAGGCGGTGATGCAGAAGATACGGCAGGAGGAAGAGGAGCGACTCAAGAAGGAAGCGCGTGAACGAGAGAACCAGCGCATTATGCAGGAGCACGAGAGCATCAAGCGCAAGCATGTTCGGGAGCGTCTGGAGCAGATCAAGAAGACTGAACTTGGAGCCAAAGCCCTCAAAGACCTTGATATTGAGGTGTGTGAGTACAATGAATTTGAATAATAACTTGCGTATGTCTATTTTGTAGTACTCTGTAAGTCTGCGGTTTACTTTATAGGCTGTTTCTTATCAAATGTCCTCGTTAATGTGTTATCCCTATGATTTTGTTCAGAATCTTGATGAACTTGATCCTGACTTCATTATGGCCAAGCAAGTTGAGCAGCTTGAGAAGGAAAAGAAAGAGCTTCAAGAGCGTTTGAAAAACCAAGAGAAAAAGGTACAGTTCATCGAAGGCAACTAAATCTGATGTTTTTTTAGTTAATTTAACACGTAGTTGTTGGTTCATGTCAGGCTCACGATTTGTACATTATAATATTTAATTTCTTTCCCTAATTAGATTGACTATTTTGAGAGAGCCAAACGTGTCGAGGAGATTCCATTGCTGAAGAAGGCTTTTGAAGAGCAGCGCATTAAGGACATGGAGTTCTGGGAGCAGCAAGAAGATGAGAGGGTGAATATGAGTTATTCGTTTGTTATTGACGAATTACAAATTTTGCTCATGTGAATGCACAATCTAAATAATGATGTTTGTTTTTTAAGATCTCAACTGTGAAATTGGAGCGAGAAAAGGCACTGGAGAACAAGAAAAGGATGATTCACATGCAAGAGGACAAGGATTCATTCTTATCAGGCTTGAAATCCTCACGCCGTGCCATCTACTTGGTATGCACTATACATGCTTGTCAGCTGATGTAAATGTGAAGCCGTGCCCTAAATACACAGGCAAATACAACTGTGATATAATTTGTTTTGGAGTTGCATTATATTTAAAACATGAGTTGGCGGTAAAAGCCTGTTTTGAAGTGGAGAAAAAAATCAAGCATTACATTTCTGATTAATTTATTTTGTTCCTACTCAAGGCTAAATTGAAGGTGTTTGAAGAGCGCATGGAAGAAGAGCGGACAAAACGCCTTGCTGAACGAAAAGTGCAAAGGAAGGAAGATCGCAGACTCAAATTTCACCGAGAAAGGGAAGAAGAAGCACAGAGAATTCACGATGAGCAACTTAAAAAAGGTATCCGTTTTGCTCTGCACTCGGAGTGGGGGGGGGGGCAGCATCTCGGCATGTCGTTGTTCATGAAATGCAATTAATTATTTGGAATGAGAACTGGCTTGGACTTGCATATTAAAACAAAGCAAAAAAAACCTTTAATTTTGCACGTGGACATTTTTGCAGAGCGAGATGAGGCAGAAAGGATTGAGCGTGAGAAGCGCGAGGAAGAGGAGCGCGAGTACCAAGAGCAGATTCAAAAGCTGGAGGAGCAAGCGAGAAAGCGGAGGCAGAAAGAATTAGAAATCGAAGAGCGGGAGCGGAAACGAGAGATGGGAGAATCAAAACGGGTACCCGTGAGTTTTAAAATAATTACAAGCAGCAACATTAATCCTTTTATGGATGAGACAAGCTACTAAGAGCATTAACGTGTTCGTTTTTCATGTGCAGGATGGAGATGGAGGTCGATGGGGTGAGAGAGATTCAGAATGGCGACGTGATATTCCTGCAGATCGTGATGATTTACCCAAGCGTCCAGCTGATGATGGGTCAGTAAGCTCTTACTAAATATATCATTCTAAATAGAAGGCACTTTGCATTTTGGTGATGGTTATCTTTTTTAAAGTGGGAATGTGGTGAAGTAAAAACAATATTTTGTTGCTTTTATTTGAAACGAGCTTCATAAGGTAATGATTACAACATAGTAGTTTCTCATTTTTGTGAAAAATATACAGCTCCATAACGGAATGATGTCACTTATTATTGGTCCTGTGCAGCGAGAGGGATTGGCGTCCCCGTGGTGGCGACGATGACCGTTCATTCCGCCGCCGGGAAGAAGAACGCATGCCCCCTCGGCGAGATTTTGAGAAGCCGATAAGGCGCGATCTGGAAGATAGGTCTATGAGGCGTGATGCCGATGAAAAACCGCCACCGCCCCTTCGTCGTGATGGTGAGGACAAGCCGCCAGCTCGCTGGGGCCGCAACGATGATGAGCGCCCCGCTCCGTCATTGCGTTGGGAGGATGAGAAGCCAGCGCCGCGTCGTGTCGAGTCGCCGTTCCACCAGGACGAAGAGAGGGCACCACGAGGTTGGAATGAGGATGCCAAGGGTGAAGCTGATAAACCTCTCTCTGCCTGGAAACCTGCTGTCAAGCCGGGTGAGGACTTTTTCCTGATGGCAACATTTTGTGAATTATTAGTATTTATAAGATGTGATTTGTATTTTGGGGGGGTATGTTCTTTAGTATTTATACAATTTGTAACGAGCAGCAACCAAAATTGTAATGCACCGTAATGGCAGAGGTGTATACATTTCTGTTTGTCCTTGCATTGGCTAGGTGGGTGGCGTGACCGTGAGAAAGCGCGTGACGAGGTGTGGAAGCCCCCTCGCGAGGGGTCGCAGTCGGCGGAGGGTGATGGAGAAGAACCGGCTGAACGCGAAGAGGGCGAGGGAGACAAATTCGATGATCATGAAGCAAAAACCAAGGACCGCGATCACTTTGCGGACCGCGAACGAGCACCGCCTGAACGGGCGCCCGAACGGGCGCCCGAACGAGCCCCCGAACGAGCCCCCGAACGAGCCCCCGAACGAGCCCCCGAACGAGCCCCCGAACGAGCCCCCGAACGAGCCCCCGAACGTGCGCCCGAACGAGCGCCCGAACGAGCGCCCGAACGAGCGCCCGAACGAGCGCCCGAACGAGACCGCTTTGGGGACCGCGACCGCTTTGGTGACCGCGACCGCTTTGGCGACAGAGACCGCTTTGGGGACCGCGACCGCTTTGGGGACCGCGACCGCTTTGGCGACAGAGACCGCTTTGGTGACAGAGACCGCTTTGGGGACCGCGACCGCTTTGGCGACAGAGACCGCCGTCCACCAAGGTATGCATTTTCATTTCCATATTGGTGACTAGTTGTGTACTCTTTGTTTTTTTCACTTAGCTCACTTATAATATAGCAACTCATGTGCATCTTAATAAAATGGTATTCATATTTTATTTAGCTTGGCAATGTAGCTGCATCAGTTATTAAATGTGAGTGTACAAGTCATGATTTATTTCAAGTAATAGCATGATTAGATCACCAGCACTCAGCCATGGCAGGTTTTGAAAGCTTTTATTTTTTCATCTGCTGTGATTTAGCAATCATTGGTTGCCTGCAGGTAGGGAATGTGGTGGTGGTTAGCAATTTGGTGTTGGTGTGCTGTGACAGCCTTATTACCCAGCTCCAGATCACATTCCAGTGATTAATCCGAGCTTCTGCTTACGAGACTCCCATTTGCTTGTCCTGGCTTGTGATGCACTTCCTTTGCATTGCAATCATTGGACCTCATTGAGGGAAGGTATTTTTCAAGATGTGTTACAATTGCACTTGGGGTGATTTATATTTTAAAATACTGATGAACATTTGGACGATCCAATGACCATACTCTCGTAATAGTTGCAGTCGCAATATGTTTTTATAGCACTTTTAAAAATGCTTTTTTAGTACCCTGTCCAAGCCAAATGTACTGCATAAACTAGTTTTTATCCCCATTTGACAGACAAAACTTAGTTTTCTGTTGAAACTGTAGGATTTAGCAAAACGTGTGTTATATTATAAAAAATGTGTATCTTTGTTTAAGCAAATTCATATTTAACCAACTTTGCATAGATGAGCATGCTGTATAAGTATTGTATGGTATTGATACCCATCACGTTACACTGATTGCTTAAATTTTTCTTAATTAATGGCCATAACTTGTACATATTTTTTCTCCCTGGTTTGTTCTGTTTTTACATTTTACAATTCATGAACGTTATGAAACATGAAGGAAATGTTGTAAGCTCTGTACATGCGGCTGCTTAATTTTGTGCCAGCTTACATAAAATATAAACTCGTTTGTCCTGTGGGGGTTGTTTGAAAACTCTCAAACTCGGTCAGCCTTGAATGCTGCACTGATGGGAGATAAGGAAAAATAAATACTTGGACAGTCAATTGATAAAACCCACATGTTGCTCTGCTTGTCCAACCAAGCTAAATAAGGTCACTTTAGCTCTATCTTATGAATTTGATAAGATAGTTTAAACCTTCAAACTTATCTTTGTGTTAAGGCTTTACAAAAACGATTACACAATTACATAAACATAAATCTTGCATTTGTACGTAAGACGTGCCGCGCCAGCTTGGGATCTTTACGGGAAATATCAACTTTGCATGAACAAACTATGACTATTACTGATGGTGACTAATACTTCGCTTTAATGTCTTGTGATTAAAATATACAGAGAGGAAGGAGGAGGAAATGTATGGCGGAGGCCTGGTACAGAGGATTCTCAGGCTCCCGGTTGGAGGGACCTTCCAAAGCGTGACGATGGTGAGAGAGATCGAGATATTCCACGTCGGGAGCCACTTGACAGGGAGAGGCGTGGCCCACCACCTGTCCGAGGAGGAGACTGGGAAGACCAAAGAGGTGCACCACCACCCAGAGCAGATCGCGATGAAGGTGAGCAGAACCATAAAATATTGTTGGCATTTGGTGGCATTCGTACATAAGCTTTGGGATCACCTTTGAGAATGGTGTGTGTACACGGCTGCCCTTCGATGTATAATACTTGGTCAGAAGTGTCGAATTTCATGCTAAATTCCAAAATTGGCACTAGGAATGCAGAGTACATATGACATTTAAATTTAATGCCAACTGACACCCAAAGCATTTTAGCAGTCAAAGTTTCAATTGGCTTGACCAGAAAAACTGATGCGGGTGGTGAAACAGTGGTCATGTGATCCTCGGGGCCCGTGAGAGGCCATTCGGTAATTAACTCCTTTAAAAACAACGGTTTTATTTTAAAGTGCACTAAAAGGTAAATAACAAGATTGGACAACGGGAAGTGGACGACATCTTGATTACAAGAGACACGCGGCGCTTGCTTTTTGTGCGAGCCGATTCCACAGTTTAGGGACGGCGGCGTTTTTCACCTGCACAAAAATATATCATTAATGCCGTCCATGAAAAAATTGTAATTGCTTGAAAAGAGGCAATTGATGAATTGACGCGGATTTTAATACAGGCATGCATTGTCACCGGATCTGAGTACGTGTACAAAATTTGGAATTGATTGGACAACACTAAGTAGTCTAACTTTTTATTACAAGATTTGACCGACAGGAGTCAAGTTAAGTAAAACCGTTGAAAAAAGTGATATTTGTTTCTTTTGTAACTCAGTATTTTTGTGCAATACAATGTCATGTTGAAATAATATAAAAGCTAGTTAATGCCTACCTCAAAAGGTAGTTTTTCAACATAACAGGATATATCGAATTTAATCCACATTTTTTATTAATGTTGCATTTTTCTACCTGAAAGTTAATTTTCTCACTTGGTGTCAAAATTGGTTGCTTAAATTACTCAAATGCCAAAACATCTGTTGTGGCGTTAATAAGCACCATTGTGTAATCATACTTTTTCATACAATTAAATTTGTATGATCATATGAGGGTCTTGGATCCAAATAGTGGGTCAAATGTATTGGTACCTGCTCCATAGCACTCCTTCCCCTGTAACCCACTTCTCACATCTATGTTTCAAGGCGTGTGGCGGCGATCCGAAGACCGGCGTGAAGACGGGGATAGGGACACCCCCCGCCGGGCGCCTTTTGTGGGCCGAGATGGTGACCGGGATCGTGAGCGCGTTGAAAGGGAGAAGCCTGCACCACGCAAAGAGCTTCGCGAGGTTCCGGCCTCTGCTGCTCCTGTAGCTGCTGCCGCACCTCCTAAGCGCCCAGTCCGCAATGAGACCGATGACGATGGTTGGACAACTGTCCGCCGCTAAAGCCACATTTCCACACAACCGTATAATTGGTTTTGGTTTGAGTTGAGATTGCTTTATTCAAAGCATGCACAGAAATGTTTTTGGACAACGTCCAATGTAATACTAAATTCCAAAATTGGCCCCATACACTTAAAAAAATATTACATTGTTTTGTTTAAATTCTGTTGTTTTTCTGAATTTGATAGACGCAAATTATTGCAGCCTCAGAATTAATCAAATGGAGTATATGCTTTGCTTGTGAAAGGCACAAAATTCATGCACTTAAACAGTGCGATTTGTGTTCTTGCCATGCACTTCTATCAGGCTGCCTATCCATTGTGATTATAGGCTTCATTTTAGATATTAAAACTGAAGCTTTTGAAAATGTAACAAGATATAGCTGTGTTTACAGGATTTTAGACTGGTAAGATGGCTTAAGTTTGAAAATAGTACCATTCATTCTGGGGATTGCCTATTGAAAAGCTGGTCAAACAGTATAAAACCTGGTCCTTAACCCAATGTCTTTCAATTTTAAGCTTAACATTTTCCTCAAGCATAAGCAGTGTTTCAACCATTTGTTAGAATTGCAGATTATCATGAAGTATGGCATTATTATTAAGTAATTAAAGCCAAATGAAATTTCAGATTGGGAAATTAGCTTGCAAGGTTAAATGTATTCAATATTATGTGCATTTAACAATTATAATCTTTGCCCTGTTGTCATTTCTGATGCATTAAGTTAACATGTATTCTTGTGGAAAACTTGACTTTGTTGGTTGGTTATAAAGTCATGTGGATTGGAAGCCCAGAGCATTTTCATGATTTAATCTCCTTAGTTGTGTGGAAGTTTAATACGAAAACCAATAAAAACAAAGGTCTTGAGCAATAGCCTTTAGTGTTTTCATTTTTCTGTTGTGCTGCAGCTTCAGTGTGAATATATCCTCATCGTGGGATAAAAGACGACTGATTATTCTATGGATCGAGTTGACATTTAACATTAATGTACTCTGCATTATTTGCTAAATCACATGCTTGTGGTTTTGTGGCTGTGTGTTTCATATCAAGACTTGCCGACATTTCGCAGGGATTTAGCAGACAGGTGTGCCTTTCTTCATAGATGGGAAGATGTGGTTTGTTTGGCATGAGAGCTGCCAAATCTTCAAGCCCTAGTGTGCCTGCATTGGCCTAGTTAAAATTGTATGAAATTGAAGCTAACGCTTCCCACATTTGGAAAGGCCTCATTTCCTTAGTAACCAATATCTTGCAGGTGAACAGCCTGAGTTTTCATTAAGTAAACATCCCAAGTTGAGATCGCAGTTATATTGCAATTTAATCATTTCCAAAAATTAGTATGGCCAAATTGCTGTTTGAGATGCATTAATCCAAGTTGTGTTGTGTTTGTACATTTGTCAATTCCATATGCTGGCAACTATAGTCGGCTGATTTGTCATGGTGAAAATGTCATGTTAATTATCAGCCACAGAATATTGCACAATGTGGCTGCCAATTTCAGTACTGCATGCTGAATCCTATTAAGATGCGCTTCTACGACTGCCTGGAACGCTCTTCCGATATTAGGAAGCCACTTGAGCTATGGGTTTTTAAATCTAGGTTGACTCATTTCCTTGTAACTGCTTTCTTGTCCACCTGAACGTCTTGTACGTTGCGAAAGAAGTTCAATAGATACATGACTTGCATTTAGTTACCTTGAAGATTGTGATTTGCTTATTAAACAATTTAGGAGTAACTTTTTTAAGAGTACATCACAGCTCGCAAATTGCATAAAGCAAGACAGGAACATTTGCAGTGGGTGCATATGTACAACTGATATACCATGTAACTTAAAATTATACATTGTATGGATAATTAGTTTCACTGTAAACATGCAATGTCCAATAAAGAACATTAACTTCACTTTAAAAGGGCCTTGTCTAATTTATTTAAATTCATATAGTGCGAAAAGTCAAACTATACATTATTTGAGATGGGAAGCAGTGAGTTGTGCCAAGTGTCGAAGCCATCCTTGCAGCCATTCGGCGAAGGTGGGCTGGCATGTTCAAATGCATGACTGCTGAACACAGTCTTGTATAGAGAACTGTCCCAAAGAAAATGCCATGGAGGACAGGGTGCTGCAGCTTGGCGGATGTGCTCAAGCGGTATCTGAAAGTTACAGCTATTTCTGTGGACAAATGGGATAGGCTGGCCTTGCACTTGTGTACCAAGCATCGACAAATATTTCAGATTACAATTCCGAGTAAATTTCTACCCACCTAAAATTCCACGTAGTTTAATCAACATCCATTAAATAAGTCACACTTATGTTGTATAAACATGTTTATTAAGCAAAGTGTATATGTACTTTTTAGTACTTCATCGTCATACAAGATGCCGGTATAAGGTATTTCACATTCTGCGCCGCAGTCTAAATTCTTTTACTCAAAGCACTGGCAATATCTCAAATGTGCGATTTACAATTGAAATCAAAAACACACTTTTACTTTTGTTAATTACTGCAATACCAATAAATCAACATGGACCGATCAATAAACTCAAATATAAACAGCAAATAGATACATTTTTTTAAATTCCATTCAGTATTTGAAATATTTACATTGTCATTTAGGCTACTTTAGTATTATGCATTTTAACATTTAAATTACAGCTACAAATCATCACATACAAAAACATCAAAAACCTATAAAAAGCTTCCGTAAAGGCAGTGTAACAGTAATCAGTCAATGAAATCTATTTTTTATTTATTAATAAAATATTCTGATCATTTGCACCAGCATAGAAGGCCTTTACAAACCTCCAATATTGATGAAAATATTTCAAAATACACCATTTACATCATATATTCTTTGGTCAATAACAAAAATACAGTAAACAAAAATTGCTACATTCATTGGAAAAAAGCATACAATTTCATATACAGTGCTGAACTCACTGGGGAATTTGTGGCTTCAGGCAACGGGGTTACACTGGGTCCCATTTGTAGCAGGGCTTGTAATGCCTATTGCGCGATACTGAAACCATAGTGCTTCAGGGACTTAAGATCGTACATAAATCTAAACACAAGGCCATTTACAGCCTTGTTCAAGTTTGCAAACGTACCAATGTACTTTAGCAAAAATACACTTTAATTTTTTTAGACACCAGCTACATGGGTACATTTGTTTTAAATTAAACAGTGCTTGAAAGGTGTAGCTCATTTAAATGTAAATTTTCCAATATATAAATGCTATATATAAAAGGTTAGTTTTTCTTTTAATGTACTTTAAATTTTACGTCTATGCAATATTTGGAACAATTTTTTTGTAATTTAAATGCAGACCTTGTGTAATATTCAGAAAATAAATTGATACAGTAAATATTTTTTTCCCTTTCATATGTAATACTGGGGTTTTTATGCAGGTAAAATTATAAGCACCCCACAAAATACTACGCAAATTTGTTTTGATCACTAAACACTTTAAGTTAAAAACAAATTGTAAAATTATATTTTACAAACGGAGCATTTTAGATTGTGGCAAAATAAGGTACATTCTATTGGCATATTAATGGTATAATTAAACCCAAATTCTTCAGTAGCAAACGTGATACAGCACAAAAGTCATTAAAATGCATAACGTATGAAGTTTAAAAGTGTAACGCACCAAGAAATCCAGGAATTAGTATTAAACAAATACAAGGGCAGCTTAACACAACAGTCCCTTCTGGCGGGCCATATATGTAAAACAGTTTTCAAACAGCAAATATTACTATTACATATAGTACAAGGTACATCAAGGTGTAACTACTGCAGAATACTTATCCAGGCCAGGAATACAAAAAAAACATCACCAGCACTTTAATGTGCCATAATTAAATTTTCATTGGCTGATTTTAATACGAATTGTGCAACATGGAGGCTATGCGTACTAGGGGAAATGAAGAAGCTAAAGAAATTTACAACCGTTATAAATCAGAGGAATAACCCTACATCATTTAAGGTTCTAATTAAAAAAGTGTTCAGAATTAAATAAAACATTCCACAATTATTCCATATTGATCATACAATGCTTTTAAGCGCCATTTCTGAATTGTAATTTCCACTTAATTGTCAAGTGCAGTGTGTGGTCTTTTGTGACCTTAATTCTAACAGCACAATTACATCTCATAACTTTAAAGTAGATGACGTTTGTTCAGTAATCAACAATATATTTAGGAGACAATTGTATAGTGACTACTTCCGTGACTAAAATGTAAATAAAGCAGCAAGAGTAATTCCCCTGTTATTGACCATTTTGAACACAAAATGCTCCCTTTTAGGAGAACAAATGTTGTGTAATGCCCTTTACATATAAACACTGAATTTCTAGTAGTTATCCAATCGAATTGGCATCTAATAAAATGTGTCAAATATTGACTTATCTGAAATTTACTTTGTTTTACCTAGTTTTGGAGTTGATTTGGCCATGGAATGTTTTGAATAAGTGCCAGCGAGATACCAAATAAGGGGCAGACACATGGGGCTTTCTGGTTGGTAGTAAGGGACAAGGGCAGAAGCAAGATTTCAAGCAGTGGGTGAAATCACCCTCCAGCCCCCACTCCGATCCACCTCTACCAATTAAGGTTGCACAACTCATGATATTTTCATGGGAAGTTACATTATTTTACTGAATGTGAAGAGAACATGGTAAGAAAAAACTGTATTATGTTATACCTGATACTTGAAACCACGCTGAGATGGAATGTAGACATTGCTTAACCAGCTGATTAATTTTGTTCCCACAAGATATGTCCAAACGTGCAGAAAATTGGAGTGTGGGATAAGGGAGACCTACCTTTGCTTGGGCAAAGTGCAACTTTTTCAAATGGAACAGTCATTTACCCAACTATAGTTTAAACATTTGTGTGTTATATCCATTTAACAAGACTTTTTTTTCAATGTACATTGGCCCCTGTTTAATTTGTGGGAAAGTGCTATTTTAAACGAGGGCAATCAGTGGGCCTCGAAATGAGCTCTCAAATGTTTTATTCCCTCAGGTGAATGGGCTATCCCTTCCACCGAGCCTTCACACTAAGATTGACAGGGCTACTCAATCTTGCCTACCCAGTGTACCAATTGAACATGTGTTTCTCTCTGTCATGAGGATCCTTGCTTCACATCCATGGTACTTGTTTAATAAAGTTGTATATTAAAGCACACGAAATAATGTTAATACATTGGTGAGTATGTATTGCTTAAATGTGGTTAATGTACAATGTTTGCGTTTCAGCATAAGGTAAAATGAAAATGAGAAATTAAGTTAAAATATGACCAGCAGTACTGTCAATTTAGTGCTTTGTCCAAAATCGTTTGATCACGAGAAGTGAAAAAGTAGCTGATATTAAAAAATTCAGAATTAAAAAATTCAGAACTGAAAATATGATAGTGTATGAAACAATGGCAACACAATGCCCAGCCAGAGCCGATGATTAACCAAATACCAAAACCAAATTAAGTGACTGTTACATAGCCATAATGAAATGCACCAAGTACTCCTTCGGAGATATACTGCACATTAATCAGTCCCTCTGAAAGAAGGACGAGATTGTACCAATAATAATATTAATACACCAACTGCGTTAGGATCAGTGGCAAAACACTCCAGAACTAGGCACATGTTGGTCCATGTTCGCACGGCAACTCGTGAAGTGATTTTTCTAGCTCCCCCCTTCTCCCCCTTGACGCTCTTCGCAAAACGCGAATGCAGTTTCCACGTGGCAGATATTAACTGCCTTCCATATTTGATGTGGTGGCGTCCACAGTCAACATTAGTGTAACTATTATATATATATTTTTTACAAATAAAACAACAATATTATGCAGCGTACCAGGACTTCGATGGGTGTGGGTGGATGGACGGGGGACTGGGTAATTACTGGGAAGTATTTGCCGCTGCATTTGGGTTAATTAATTTTCACGTAAATTACATTTCAATTTTTTTTTTTTATCAAATCCCCACAATTTGTACTCGTTGTCGTGGTCATTCACTGTCATCGTCGTCGTCACAGAACATCATCATTACGCTACCACCACCAATCATCAAACCCACCCAACAACCATCACTGGTCATCATCATCATCATGACCCAATCCCCATCAGATAATCCTGCGCCTCGCTTGCAGTGCCGGGGCCCCGGCGGTTGGGGTCGCCGTAACAGCGGCGGCCGCGGCCGCCGCAGCGGCCGCGGCGGCCGCAGCGGCCGCGGCGGCGCGCAGCTTGCGTGGCGGTGGTGGGTCCCCGCGAGCGTCCCGGGACAGGGGGCAATACTTGATGGTGTGAGCACGGTCGCCGTTCACGCCGCAGAGCGGGCACGTGTAGGCGCGCAGGCGCGGGCACAGCACGCGGCCGTCGGGCGCCTTGAGCACGTGGCCCGCGTACACCGCCTCCGCCTCGCCGTTGTTGCGGCAGAAGACGCACACGCGCGGCGGCTCCGCGCATTTCCCACGGACCTGCGGGTGCGAAGGGGGAGGAGGAAAGGGGGTGAAAGAGAGAACGGCCATCCACGACGACAATATTAACAACGAGCCTTTTGCCCGTCCAAGGACGACGGGTGTATTGCAGTAAATCTGAAGCTTGCAAGCGAAAAGCAGAACGCGACGTGATATCCATTGTATCGATTCGTGTGCAATTTGTAAGGACGCGGTGACACAGACTTATTTAATTTAAAGGTTTATAATCCCTTGTTCATCACGACGTCCTTTTTACTTCTAAGTCTTAACAACAGCGTGACGGAGATCACGTGACGTGATGAGGGTTCTGCCTTTGTAGTGAGGGTTGTGAGTTGACGGCTGAGGAGGGGGGAGGAGGCGCCTCGCCCCCCCATGTGGAGTGACGTCACCCGCTAATTAATATTAATGTTGGAGGGGGGGTGTCCATTGGGAAG